GTAATTATAGAAGCCTGTCAAAAACACACCTGAAAATCAGGATTATGTGTGGATTTGCTTTAGCAACCAACACCATTAAATCCTCGCTGGATTTTCACTCTTTGGAAACTAACTTGGCAACTGACTTTGTTTGACCTCAAACAGCTCTCAGAGCTCCTGTGACCTTTTTTTTTGCTGACCTTTGACCTCTGACATCTGTACTCTGCTCTCTTTCACTCTCTTGCTTCTGGTGGAGGTATCTGAAAGCTGCGCTACGTGTCTACTGTCTATATATAGGCTATTTATGTATGCAAAGTCTGCCAATGGTAAGTAAATGAAGAAAATTTACAAGGCATGAATATTTCTTACCAGCCATTAAAATGTATTTTGCATTATTGTTTTATAAAATATATTTAAAATGAACACTGCACAAAAGCTCTACATTTATATATATATATTAAAAATGTAGTCCATTGCGTTCATCTACAACATATTCATATATATATATATATATATATATATATATATATATGTACAGCATCTATTTGAAATATATATATATTTTTTTGTTACAATAAAAAAGTCTTAACTGACACTTTTGATCAATTTAATGCAATAAACTTGAATAAATGATGATCCATTGTCAGTTTATTTCATTTGCAGCTTATTGCATTGCAGCTTGATTTAAGAAATAATCAACATGTCACCACATGGAGACATTTAGACAAGATGTACAGGTCATGAAAGGTGTTTTCTTTAGCAGACCATACCAAGCTGTACAGGTGCATCTCAATAAGTTAGAATGTCGTGGAAAAGTTCATTTATTTCAGTAATTCAACTCAAATTGTGAAACTCGTGTATTAAATAAATTCAATGCACACAGACTGAAATAGTTTAAGTCTTTGGTTCTTTTAATTGTGATGATTTTGGCTCACATTTAATAAAAACCCACCAATTCACTATCTCAACAAATTAGAATACTTAATAAGACCAATAAAAAAAACATTTTTAGTGAATTGTTGGCCTTCTGGAAAGTATGTTCATTTACTGTACATGTACTCAATACTTGGTAGGGGCTCCTTTGTTACAATAAAAAAGTCTTAACTGACACTTTTGATCAATTTAATGCAGACTTGAATAAATGATGATCCATTGTCAGTTTATTTCATTTGCAGCTTATTGCATTGCAGCTTGATTTAAGAAATAATCAACATGTCACCACATGGAGACATTTAGACAAGTACAGGTCATGAAAGGTGCTTTCTTTAGCAGACCATACCAAGCTGTACAGGTGCATCTCAATAAATTAGAATGTCGTGGAAAAGTTCATTTATTTCAGTAATTCAACTCAAATTGTGAAACTCGTGTATTAAATAAATTTGAATTTATTTAATACACAGGTTTCACAATTTGAGTTGAATTACTGAAATAAATGAACTTTTCCACGACATTCTAATTTATTGAGATGCACCTGTATGTATATTTATAGTACAAAAGCAATTTATTAATTGTAAAAAAAAAAATAATAATAAAAAAGTATAATATTTTAGGAAAACCAATTATTATAGTTGATATTCATAATAAACTCACTGAATGCTGAATCAATGGGTAAACACATGCACTTTTTTCACAAATGCAGTCACAAGAACACTAGAGTGACGTCAGCACAGCTCTCAGAAAACAAGTTACTTTTGTCTAGCTAACATCATTTACGGAGGGGGGCCCCTACACATGATCAAGGTTACACCACCAACCAAAAAACAACTCAATATTCTCTAGTGTTGTGACATTCAAAATGATATCTATCATATCTTGTTTGACTTCATACAAACCTTGACAAATACTTGTTTTCACTCCAGGAAGATCTGGCAGTTATGCTGTTGCGTGCAGGATTGTGAAAGACATAAATCTCCTGACTAATGCAATATATTATGCTCACCCTGCAGCTGCAAGCATACAAGAAAGTCCTCGTACTGCTGTGCCAAATGTTACGAAACATCTGATGTACTGAAGACGCCCTGCAGACAAAACCGTCTAGACGCCGTTCGCCGTAACGCTATACCTGGCTCAGATGTATATGGTGATTCAGCCAATGCCCTAACGTATGCTTATCATGTTTACTGAGTAACATCTACAACAAAGTGATTTTACAGATTGCCAAAAAAAAACAAGTTTGGGTTTCAAACACATCGAAGGTACATAAACACATAGGCCTGTGCACCCACACACAAAGAGAAAGGTGGATAGAGTGTATGAACTGAACCATTAAAATAGACATAACAATATTGATTTTTTTTTTTTTTTTTTTACATAGTTAAGCGTTGCATTGACGTCTGCATGTCTTCATTCTTCCTACCAATGAAAGTGTGACTTCAAAATTTGAAAATGCCGCCACAGGATGAAATCAACCGCCATGAAGGAAACCACAAGAACAAAAAGACACCTACTTATCGAGACCACAACTCAGGGCACACCCAACAGACTAAAAACTCTCACAGACACATATACATACCACAAAAATGTGTTTTTACTCACTATAATAGACCAGCAAGTGTGGTTTTCGGCCCAACCAAACTATCAGGTATATCTGTCCACAAAGTCCTCCAGCCACACACATCTGACGGAAACTTGTCAGCAACATCCATTCTATAACATCTATTAGTTTGTCGAAAAAAATGTATGAATCTAGAAAGAATTTCAGAATGATTGAAAATATTAACAATGACTGTGTTTCTGAAGGCCTCGAATCAGTTTTAATGTTGTGCTTTTATCATACTTATACTATCAAAAGTCAAAAAATGACTTTCTTCTCTTGCAGATGTCGCTTGACTTTTGGACAATATTAATTACAAGATTACTAGCTATTTAAACATTGTTTAAGCAAACTTTCATTTGGTGTTGATATGTTTTGGTATTGTAATACCCACTTTTCACAGAACCCCAAACATTGTTTTTTCTCATTGAACATCCTGTTTCACTTGAAAATATGTCAGAGTGCGCTGTAATTAGAGTGACACACTAGAGTGAATTGCCTTTTGCACCAAATTTTCTTCTTTTTTTGTAATCCTCACTTCAGTAAAATTGGTTGCAAAAGGCAGTTCACTCTAGCACCAGACAATCAATGTGGCTACATTCAGACAGAATTCCAAATCGTGTTATTGGCGGTATTAATATCATGGATATTAAGTGTAATAACTCATAGAGTGAGCAGAGGCGGCGGGCATGAGAACGGCGCAGCCTGCGGATTCGACGAAGGAGCATCCGGAGGGCTTGCAGCAACCACATGTGACGACTCCGGGCTGGACTCCGCTTCGTCCACGGTGAAAGCCGATGCACGGTTAAAAAGTTACACAGCGCAAAGTTATAGTATTTCCTCAGCAACCAGCACGGATCAGCTCTAGGCATGACGAAGCAGATATCGTCCTCTTTTGGAAGACCAAACAAAGTAGTTTCGCTTTCACAACGAAGCACACAGCGCATTCACAACATGGCGGCGGCAACAATACTACAGCGAGAATAAAAGTTACGCCTTCTTTCTTTGCCTGACCATTTGGGTGGCGTTATGCAAATCTTACCACATAGTGAAGTAGATATGTGGGGCGTGTTAGAACGAGCCGTTTTAGGTAGGCGTGGCTGACTCTTAACTTTTATAAAGAATATCTCTTTGGATTTGAGACTTTAGTCTTTGCAACTTTACAGATCTTCTTTATGCACCAAGGGCTTGTAACACTCCAAAGAGAAAGAAAAAATTGAAATCGCATCATATGACCCCTTTAAAATATTTTATGATTCATTGATTTCAATCACTAGAAACAAGAAATGTATAAAAACGTCTCTCATATTAAAAATATTATTTGTAAAATGTAATGTTTTACCCTCCATGATGTATATTTGTTATGTATCCCCAATTTTTGTCTGTGTTCTGTTTGACGTTAAGTATCTCTCTATGTTTGTTTTTGAAAGAGAAATAAAAAAAAAAGTTTTTATGCATGATTTAAAACTAGGAATGGCGCCATCTGCTGGCTTGATTAAAAAGCTGTCTGTTTACATATAATATAGAAATAGCGCCATCTACTGCTGACAGAAGGCAATTCATTAAATCCTGACAATACATAGTGTGCTAAGAAAAATAACCAGGAATCACGTTGATAGCAACAGATAGAATAAATATTTGTGTCAGTCATTAAGTGAGGCACATGACCTGCAGCGATAACAATTCAAAGTAACGGCGGGTGGCAAGCGATGTCACAAATAACTGCTAAATATCTGTTACAAGTTTTTGTTTTCCTATATTGATACTTTGTGCAAGACAATTTATTGCATTTTGAAATTTTCATCGAGGCAACAATACTAGCATAATATATATATATATATATATATATATATATATATATATATATATATATATATATATATATATATATATATATATACAACATATATATATATATATATATATATATATATATATATCCAACATAGCAATTTCTATAAAATTGTAAAATAATGCCCTATTCAATAATCACAAAAAGAACTATAATATGGTTCAACCTCACCAGCGCAGAGAACAGTAACAGGTATCACGTGAAAAAAAATATTTTTATACATAATGCCACATAACAACTTGCCAACTTAAGTTTTAGCCACTTGATTAAAAATATATAATTAACGTTAAAACAGCACGATTATTATTTATACTTTATGCACTATATGGGTCTACCCGATCAATCAAACTTCTAAGACGCTAAGTTTTGAGTAACCCCCATATTTTCATATTAACAAATACTTTTCCTATTTTATTTCAATTGCTGACATTTTTCTATAGTTTCAATCTTTATTGAAACTGTCTAACCTCAACATGATGCCATGCCCCCAACAGAAAGCTCGAAAATGATTGGCCACAATTGTCCAATTGTAGCGGCAGCACCTAAAAGCAACAATCTGATTGGATCCTGGTGGCGCGAAATAATCACATGGTACAGCATTTCGCGCGAAAGCTTCTGAAGCGGCTCGCTTGCTTCTTTGTGCTAGACGGGACGGAGACTACATATTTGTTATAACTTTGTAATAACAACTTATTACAAAAATGGATCTTATGGAACATGGAGCAAATCCGACTGCTGGGCAGATGATCAAGGACGAACTGGCGGAAAAATGCCAAAAACTATTCCAGGCTTTTTTGGAAGAGTGAGTAAATGAGGTGTTCCTTATTGTTCTTCAGTATCACGAAACGGTACACGATGGGTAACCATATTGAATAATAGCAATAATACCTATAAAACATTACACGTTTTTACACTAACATTAGTCGCATGATTTCATGTTAAACTTCATAATATATTTATACGGCATTATAAGATTAATACGTTTGCTTGAACATTACACTTCTGCACGTGAACATTCATTTCTTTGCTATTTGTATAATAATTATATTTTGCGTGTGATTTGTATTCATTTTTGGTCGTAATCATAATTTGATAGTAATAGTTTTGTGTACCGCTCCGCAGGTTTCAGAATAGTGATGGAGAAGTGAAGTACCTGCGGGACGCAGAGGAGTTGATCCGGCCGGAAAGGAACACACTCGTGGTCAGTTTTACGGACCTGGAGGGCTTTAATCAAGAACTGGCAACCGCCATCCAGGAAGAGTTCTACAGGTGTGAATGGATCCAAAAGAAAAATCAAAATCGCTTTTGAATTTAGTCACCATATACCTTGCTGCGTTCATCTTACTAGTGATGGGAAGTTCGGATCATTTCACGGACTCGGACCTTTGAGTCTCGTTCAGCAAAATGAACGAATCTTTTTTCGAGTCATTTCGTTCATTTTAGCAAAATATAATTAAAATGTTACGTGTTACTTCCCTAATACGTCTACTACTTACCTTATGGGGCTGTCACATGATGAATGAACGACTCGGAAAAACCCGAAGACTCGAAACAGGTGAACTACTTGACTAATTCCAGTACAGAACCTATAGGATGTTGCGCATGCGCAACTGAACGAATCACTCCCCGAGATGACTCGTTCTTCCCGAGTCACATTAAAGATTTGTTCAAAATGAACGAATCGTTCAAGAATGACCCAACACTACATCTTACTGTTTCATTGTAAGTTCTCAGTAATGTAATTATTAACGCTTAAAACCCTGAAACATTATCATGTAACCCATAATCTCAGATGTGCAGTTATTGTGTAGTAGCGTGTGTAATATGAGTATGTACTGCAAATTGATGAACATTTGGTACAGGCTTTAACTGCTTTATGAAACTGATAACACACAGTTTTTACCTGCATGTACAAAGTAAAATTTTGTTCTGTTTTGTATTAGACTTTACCCCTACCTGTGCCATGCTTTGCGTAATTTTGCTCGGGATCATGGAGAAGTTCCTACCTCAAAGGAATTCTATGTTGCCTTCCAGGATCTACCGACCAGACACAAGTAAAGAGAATTATAAGACAGTGTGATGACTAATTAATCATTTCGAATTAAAATACTGTCAATTCTGAACCAATGCCTCCCTAACTAATGTGCTCCTGTTCTGGGTTCCATGCAGGATCCGTGAGTTGACCGTGGCGAAGGCTGGCTCACTCGTGCGCATCAGTGGCCAGGTTGTTCGTACTCACCCGGTTCACCCGGAGCTGGTGAGCGGGACCTTCCTGTGCTTGGACTGTCAGGGAGTGATAAAGGATGTGGATCAGCAGTTTAAATACACTCAGCCGAGCATTTGCCGCAATCCTGTGTGCAACAACCGTAGACGCTTTCTCCTGGACACAAACAAATCCAAATTCATCGACTTCCAGAAGGTATGACAGGAAGCCGTAGATTTGTATGTTCTTTGGTAAACCCCCTTTCCTGTCGTGAAATGATAGAGAAATTACAGTGCAAAGCATGTATAGGTAAAGTTCAAAATGGCTGTTTTGTAGTTGATGATGTCACATGGGTAAGGATATTTGAGAAAAAATGAGAAATTTGCCATTTTTCTGCTAAACATTTTCTGCAACACACAAGTGAAGTGTCAAAAAAAGCTATATTTTACATGATAATTTGCAATAATATTTAAAAAAAATAAACCTTAAATTTAAATTTAAAAAATAAAAAAGGCCATTCATATTTGAAGTGAATGGAGAACTAAAGTTTACTAAATAAAATAATTAAATCAGTAAATATTGAAAATAAAAAGGTGTTTCAACAGATGTTTCAAATGTCAGTTTCTAGTGGCATAGGGCTGAACAATTTCTGTTTTTAAATTTATTTGTGATATTTCTAATAAAAAAATGGCAATTTTGATTTAAAATGCAATTTAAAGAAAAAACTCAAGGTTTGCCATGCTGGTTTTTATGGCTGGCCAAAAATGTTATGATTACTTATAAATATGCTTTAAAATAACAATAATTGTTTTTATTATTAAATAATATATTGAACAAAAATATTACTATTGTAATATTTCGCTGTAAAAAATAATTAATATTTTCACTTTGAAACAGAGCACAAATGTTTAATTAATTAAATAACAGTCTCTGCAATTGGATTTTGGCTTTAATCGCACAGCCCTATATAGGAAGAGCCAGGAAACAATATGGCCCTGTCCCAAATGGAAGACTTCATGTGCACTTGCGGTCTTACAATGGCACCGTAGGATGTCCCATTCATCATTTTAGCGTTCAAAAGGGTGCTCGTGAGTGCCCCCTTTGCGGCTGCTATGCGCCCTCAATGTGCACTTCTGCCGAGCCCGCACCGGGGCGAGCTCCGCAGCAGATTTCTACCCGACAGTCACAGCGGCATTACGTCATGAAAGTCCGTACTCAGAGGAAGACTGTGAGGGTTTAGGGTGCCATTTGGGACAGGGCCTATCACATGCTTGAATGTTACATTTTTATAACTCTTTCCTATTCTGTTGCATTCTGTCAGGATGACTGAGCGGTTGACATTTCATCATACTAGCTCCGTGCCATTGTTGATTGCTGTACTGTGTTTTAAAGTGTTGTAAGTGTGTTTTGATGTTTTACTTGCCTTGATTTCAGGTACGTATCCAGGAGACACAGGCTGAGCTGCCACGGGGCTCCATTCCTCGTAGTATGGAGGTGATTCTGCGGGCTGAGGCTGTGGAGTCGGCACAGGCCGGTGACAAATGTGACTTCATTGGCTCCCTCATTGTTGTGCCAGATGTATCCCAACTGTCCACACCAGGTACACATCTCTCATCCAGTCGGTCATCACTAATATTTATACAGCGGTAATAAGTCTGAGTATGCAATTATGTTTGTTTCAGGTGTGCGTGCTGAGACCAGTTCTCGTACAGCTGGGGTGCAAGGTTACGAGAATGAGGGTCTTCGTGGGCTTAAAGCTCTGGGTGTCAGAGAACTTTCCTACAAACTTGCATTCTTGGCATGCCATGTAGCCCCCACCAATCCCAGAGTAAGAGTGAAGCCCACCATTATGGCATGAAGATCTCATTTTCTGTTATATAGTAGATTATTTTAATGGGATGTCTCTGTTTGTAGTTTGGCGGTAAGGAGATCCGGGATGAGGAGCAGACGGCAGAAAGTATCAAGAAACAGATGTCGGTACAGGAGTGGGAGAAGGTGTTTGAGATGAGTCAAGATAAAAACCTCTACCACAACCTCTGCACCAGCCTCTTCCCTACCATTCATGGTTAGTCACTAAAAAACAACAATATTTCTTATTCTAAGTTGGACACAAACACAAATTGATGCAATCAAAATTAGGGATGCACGATATTATCGGAACATTATCGGTATCGGCCGATAAAGGCTCAAAATGTAAACATCGGCATCAGTCGATTTGAACAAATTGATGCCGATAAGACGAATTGCTCACATGTGCTCAGGGTGTGCTATTGCTAAGATGACAGCAGTGTGGTCATTCTTGAAGCAAACCTTTGCCTGAATCATGATTACATTCAATGTTTTGGATTGCTGCATTTAATTTGAGAAAGTATGTACAGAATGACACGTCCAGTGTGTGATAGAGGAAATACTGTAGACTAGTGCCTGCAGCAGCTAAAGCCTCCCCTGGGTCCTAATGCCCATCTAATAAGACCTTTTATGGAATTAGGGGGCGCTGTTGGCCTACTTGTAATAAAATGAAACGTAAAATACACAAATAACATTAAGATACTTGTGTTTCTAAATCACAAGTCTGTTTTGAATTAAAGGTCAGAAGCAAACGCTTACATTAATAAAAGCTACAAACATGACACTTGTAAATTAAGTAATTTAATATATACAGCTTTATTCATTAATATTTGATATATTATTTCAAATGGATTATGAAAACTTAAATACAATATTTTTAGAATTGTAACAGTTATTTAGCTTTAAACCATCTATTAATGTTAAATCACAAATAAAATGTTAAGGTTTCAACTGCTTCTGTCTTAAAAAAAACACACAAAAGCAAACAAATTGCAGAGATTGATTTTATTATAGTTATTTTCAAGGCTTTCAATGTACTCACATTAAAAAAATAACTTTAATAATATTGATTAGTTCTAGCAAATACGTTTTTGCTCAAAGCTAACCAAAATAAAAAATAATTTACTTATAATTTGTGCACAGGAGAGACTTGGTGTTGTTTCAGAATAAAAGGAAACATGTATCGTTATCGGTTATCGGCCATAATAGCATATTGGATATCGGTAAAATCTAATATTGTGCATCCCTAATCAAAATGAATTCACATATAAGTTGTCAACCAGTAGGAATTTTTCAGCAGCCAATGGTGAAAGCAGTAATAGGAGAGTGATTTGGCAGATATAATGCAGATAAATAAACATTGTAAAAAGTGTAAATTTGCAGTTGTTACCCTAAAGGGATAGTTTACCCTAAAATGAAAATCAGTCATCAATTACTCAACCTCATATTTTTATAATCGCATAATATTTATATTTTTCCTCTAAACACAAATAAAGATATATTTTTAATGAAATTAGAGAAATGTTTGTTTCTCCATGTGAAGCCCAATTTCCCAAAACTTTGATGCTTTAAAAAATTCATAAAGACATTGTAAAAGTAATCCATATGAACCAAGCTGTTCTGGCACGTCAAGCAAGCACATTTTAGCTGCTGTTTACCATATTTGATGTGCTCTATGTATGTGCATTGATTAATGTTTATATGTGTCTCTTCATAAGACTTGGATTAAATTGCTTGATTCGTATGGATTTCTCTTTATGAACTTTTTTATAAAAAATCTTCATTTGTAAAGATGAACAAAAATGTAATGGGTTTGGAATGACACAAGCTAAGTAAGTAAATGATAATTTTTTTAACCCTTTAAAGAGCTATTTCTACCTGATCTGTCGTGTAACCAAATGTAGTTGTGTGGATTTAGTCATAAAATAGATTTAGAATAAAACCTGTTAATATAAATTATCATACAAAACTAATTTTTAAGTTATCTTGACTAGACATGTGATACAGTAAATTCTGTTATTTCTGATATGAAGTCTGTTGTTTTCAGGTAATGATGAGGTAAAGCGGGGGATTCTGCTCATGTTGTTTGGAGGTGTTCCCAAAACCACCATGGAGGGCACATCTCTGAGAGGAGACATCAACGTCTGCATCGTGGGAGACCCCAGCACAGCCAAGAGCCAGTTCCTTAAGTAAGACTTACAGGATCCATCTTCTAAAGCACGAGCACTGTTACCGGACTATACTAATGTGATTCTTCTTGAACAGGTTAAAAACTGTAGGATAAAACACATATCAGACAGTGTTTTTAGAGTTTTAATTATAGAGCGAATAACTGACATTTAAATATTTTACTGACATTTTAAATAGTTGTGACGTTTTCTTCCAAATTGTGTTTAAAAAATGAGAAGATGTATTAGTTCTCACAGTTTGGCTGTCATTCAGGCATGTTGAGGAGTTCAGTCCACGTGCGGTCTACACCAGCGGTAAAGCCTCCAGCGCGGCCGGTCTCACAGCTGCTGTGGTGAGAGATGAGGAATCACATGAGTTTGTCATTGAAGCCGGAGCGCTCATGTTGGCTGACAATGTGAGTTATTTTCACAAATTATTTGTGTAAAACCCCTGTGCATCCAAGTATGTTTTGTCACTGAATCCCTATTGATTTGCTATTGTTGTCCATAGGGTGTTTGCTGCATTGATGAGTTTGATAAGATGGAAATGAGAGACCAAGTGGCTATCCATGAGGCTATGGAGCAACAGACCATCTCCATCACCAAAGCAGGGGTCAAGGTAAGAGTCAAAGATTAAAATGCAGATTTATAGGACACATATTCGCTTAAACAGGCATCAGTGCATTTGTGACATATTTCTACTAGCAGTTTGGATTTAAAAAATGTGATACGGTAATTATTCGGGATGGATCTAATATACAGACACATCCACATACATTTTCAGCTGTGAACATTAAAGTGCCCTTATTATGGGTAATGAAAGGTTCATATTTTGGTTTTGGGAGTCCCCAACAACAGGTTGACATGCATGCAAGGTCAAAAAACACTTTCATTGTATTATAATATGCATTTATTTTTACCTTATTTGCTCAACAACTCCCAAACGATTCATTTAATGATTCTTTTTTCCAAACCCATACTTTGCGTGACGCTAATCTGCGGTGATTGGTCCGATTGGTCTAATTTTTATGTCATAATGCTTGATAAAGCAGCCTTTGTAAGCGCTGCTTTGTGTACAGCGTTACCGGGGAAAACGCTATTTTACGCTCCAAAAGCTGCACCTCGTGGCAAAGAATGAATTAGCATTTTCATTCAGGCCAACGCAAAAAGACCAACAAGTGGGTGGGCAATATGCTAATGTTTCATGGTGAAGTCAACATGAAACACGACTCGTTTCAATGATTCAGAGTCGACTCTTTTTTTTAAGAGACAATAACTTTATACACACTGCACTTTCAGATTTAAAACTTTTCAGGATGTTTTCATTCACTTAGAGCTGTGTTACACACTGCATGAAAGGTAGTTTTCAAAAATCCATAATAGGGGCACTTTAAAGGGATAGTTCACCCAAAAATGAAAATTACGCAATGATTTATTCACCCTCAAGCCGTCCTAGGTGTATATGACTTTCTTCTTTTAGACGAATACAATCGGAGTTATATAAAAAAATGTCCTGGCTCTTCCAAGCTTTATAATGGCAGTGAATGGTGGATTTTGATTAAATGTACTCCACACGGCCATGGGGAGAAGTTGTGGCCTAATGGTTAGAGAGTCGGACTTGTAACCCAAAGGTTGTGGGGTTGAGTCTCGTACCGGCAGGGATTGTAGGGGGCAGGGATTGTAGGTGGGGGGAGTGAATGTACAGCACTCTCTCCCACCTTCAATACCACGACTGAGGTGCCTTTGAGCAAGGCACCGAACCCTCAACTGCTCCCCGGGTGCTGCATAAATGGCTGCCCACTGCTCCGGGTGTGTGTTCATGGTGTGTGTGTGTTCACTGCTGTGTGTGTGCACTTAGGATGGGATACATGCAGAGCACTAATTCCTAGTATGGGTCACCATACTTGGCCACACGTCACTCACTTTTTAAAACTTTATAAACCGTAATCTCTAGCTTCCGCTAACTGTAGTACAAGCGTTCACTAAAGAGTTGCGTTCCAGCGGATGAAGGCATAGCGTAAACTTAACATAAACTGCAATAGAGACGATAATCCAGATTTCTACTGGTTTATCGTGTCAACCGGTATATTGCATACCCCTAACCATAATGGTTGTCATATTTTATAATTGTTCCATAAAAGACTATATTTTGTCAAATTGTAGGCCACTCTGAATGCTCGCACATCCATCTTGGCTGCAGCAAACCCAGTGAGCGGGCGTTACGACCGCTCCAAATCTCTCAAACAGAACATCAACCTGACAGCACCCATCATGTCACGTTTTGATCTCTTCTTCATCCTGGTAGACGACTGCAATGAAGTATGAGCCAACAATGCAACAGCCTATGAAGATGATTGTGGATACAGCAGGATGTTGTTAGACTGTTAGTAAATCCCTCTGTCTCTCCCTTCAGGTCACTGATTATGCCATAGCCAGACGTATAGTGGATCTCCACTCCAGAATTCAGAATTCTGTCGATCGGGTCTACAGTCTAGATGAGATTCGCAGATTCCTGCTGTTTGCTCGCCAGTTCAAACCAAAGGTGAGTGACAGGAAGATTTATCATCATTCTTCCCTGATATAATTAGAACCAGAAGGAAAAAGGATCTGCACACAAAAATACAGGCAAAAGCTTTTGTAGACACTTCAAGCAGGTGTATGCTTGAACCAAAAATGTTTTGCACTTGGCACTTTTTCTGCCTACGTTTTTGTGTGTGAATCCTTTTTTCATTTGGTTTAGTTTTTGTATGCTACGCATTTGATCTCATTGTCACAATGTCAGCTATTTCTTAACTGTGTCTCGATCTGTGTGTGCGTGGTATCAGATCTCAAAGGAGTCTGAGGAGTTCATTGTGGAGCAGTACAAGCGTCTGAGACAGCGGGACGGCTCCGGAGTCACTAAATCAGCCTGGAGAATCACAGTCCGCCAGCTGGAAAGCTTGATTCGTCTTTCTGAGAGCATGGCAAGGATGCACTGTTGTGATGAGGTGTGTATGAAAAAAAGAGAAACACGAGAGCATGGTTTTTGTTTCCTGAGAGGATTTTGGTCAGCTAATCTCTAAAATAAATATCAATATTAGTTAAAAATGTTGGTAACAATAAGGTCCCATTAGTTAATGCTTAATTCAAATAAATTAACTAAAATAAACTATTTATTATATACTATATCTATATTAACACATTTATTGGTTACAGAATTTATTAGTTTTTGTTGATGTTAGTTAATAAAAATACAGCTGTTTTCGCTGTCAGCTCTTGTCCATTAATATTAATAATGTATTAGTAAACATTCTAAGATGTGAAACTATTTAGTAGTTCAGGTCTGTCAAATGTCACTCCATATCAATTCACCAAATTATTTCAGTTATTGCAAAGGTTCTTGCAACATACAACAGCAAATGAACCAAAACCCAGAAAGACACTCACTAAGCAAACAAGTATGACTAACAACAGGATAAAAATGACAAGCAATTTCCATGTTTTTCCAACTAAATTATCTCTTAATTATCAATGGAAAGCACACTTTCGTTCTTCCGCTTTCTCTCTACAATCACACACATACTATACAGACACACACTTGCACACAGAGACAAAAACATACGCATACCGACTGCCCCATGATTTATTTTTTCAATGAAATAGTTTGCAAGTGAAAAGCTAAAAGTAGTGGTGAACAGTAACGGAGTAGTTTTATTTTGTTACTATACTTAATTAAAATTTTCAAGTATCTGTACTTTACTGGAGTAGTTTTATTTTGAGTAAATTTTACTTCACTACATTTCATAAAACATATCGTTACTCCTTATAATATATCACGTGCTCCGACACTCCAAATATTTTTATTCAACAACCTAGATAGATTACATCTGGGGGTAAATAAAGGATGTGATGTTCAGAACATGGTAACTACAGTAATTATCAAAAAGTGGGAAGTGATGCCCTCTGGGGGCATTTGGTCAGGGGTGTTTTTACACCACAGACAAGGTTTGAGAAGAAAATTAATATAATATAATTATATTTTCCTTAAAATGTTCTTCCTAACTTCAAGCCTTATTCTCATGTCATATATAACTGTGATGTTCTGCTAAACAACCAGCTTTAAAACACTTTTTTCTTACTGGTGAAAATCAGATGGTCAGATCTGTTTTCTCTCAGGTACTTCGCAGTGTAAGCTTCACAGTGAACATTACTACATCACTCTCGTCAACGTAGTCCATATCATCAACAAAAATATATCTTGACTCCATATAGTGGTTATTTTGGGAAAATCCCAGGTATTTTGAGCAGTAGGATAATAAAAAAGATGTGCTAATATAAATTAAATTAAGTAGCCTAAATTACGTATTAAGTAAATAAAATTTAAGTAAAATTGCAAAATAAATCTATCAGTACTTTTTTACTTAAGTACATAAAAAAATCGAGTACTTTTGTACTTTCACTCAAGTATAATTGAAAAAGGAGTACTTTTACTTTTACTGGAGTAATATTTGATTATACGTATCTGTACTTTTACTCAAGTACTTGATTTGTGTACTTCGTTTCTGCCTCTAACTAAAGTCATTTTGATAAATCAGTCTAGCGCAACATGTTTCTAAACCAATGGTTATCAACCAGGGGGCCCTGGTTATTTAAATGTAGTTATATTATTCTTACTTAAAAGTATAGTGCACACAAAATTGAAAAGTCTGTCATCATTTACTCACCTTCATGTTGATCCAAACCTGTATGACTTACATTCTTCTGTGGAACACAAAAGATATTTTGAGAATGTTGCGAACCGAAAGTGTTTTGTTATCAACATTCTTCAAAATATCTTCTTTTACGTTCGACAGAAGAATGTAAGTCATACAGGTTTGTAACAGGTTTGGAAATGATGACAGACTACTTTTTTGGCTGGACTATCCCTTTAAAATACTACAAAAACAAAAAAATATCATATTTTTGAGTTCATTTTTATCACAACAGAAGTACCAGAGGTACATATAAGCCTAGATAAGAGGGTCTTAGAGTCAAAAAGTACCACTGTTCTAAACATACTTCTGTTTTCTTGCTCTTTTTAGGGCATGATGCACCGAACGGTGTGAATGGAGATGTTAATGGAGAAGTGAATGGTCATGAGCACACAAATGGTATTAATGGTCACGGAGTCAACGAAGAAAGCACTAAACCTTCACTGCGACTGTCATTTGCGGAGTATAAACGCATTTCTAACCTGTTAGTGCTACATCTGCGTCACGCTGAGGAAGGTGAGCACTCTGTACAAGTCTTAGCATAAAGTCCAAGTAATTATTATGCATTTATATTATTCTTACTTAAAAGTATAGTGCACACAAAATTGAAAAGTCTGTCATCATTTACTCACCTTCATGTTGATCCAAACCTGTATGACTTACATTCTTCTGTGGAACACAAAAGATATTTTGAGAATGTTGCGAACCGAAAGGGTTTTGTTATCAACATTCTTCAAAATGTCTTCTTTTACGTTCGACAGAAGAATGTAAGTCATACAGGTTTGTAACAGGTTTGGAAATGATGACAGACTACATTTTTGGCTGGACTATCCCTTTAAAATACTACAAAAACAAAAAAATATCATATTTTTGAGTTCATTTTTATTACAACAGAAGTACCAGAGGTACATATAAGCCTAGATAAGAGGGTCTTAGAGTCAAAAAGTACCACTGTTCTAAACATACTTCTGTTTTCTTGCTCTTTTTAGGGCATGATGCACCGAACGGTGTGAATGGAGATGTTAATGGAGAAGTGAATGGTCATGAGCACACAAATGGTATTAATGGTCACGGAGTCAACGAAGAAAGCACTAAACCTTCACTGCGACTGTCATTTGCGGAGTATAAACGCATTTCTAACCTGTTAGTGCTACATCTGCGTCACGCTGAGGAAGGTGAGCACTCTGTACAAGTCTTAGCATAAAGTCCAAGTAATTATTATGCACTTTTAACAATAATAACAACAACATGACATGGTCAGACAAACACAGCCCACAGGAATCTAATTTGTATTGCGCCATTTCTCCTAGCCGAGGACGAGACTGCACTTAAGAAGAGTGAAGTAGTGAACTGGTACCTGAAGGAAATCGAATCCGAGATTGATTCAGAAATGGAACTCATGAATAAGAAGACAATGTTAGAGAAAATTATCTACAGACTGGTTCACTGTGTAAGGAAACAGTTTCATGTGATTTGAATCTCTTTTATGTGTAATGTTGTCTGGAGACTACATTAAGTCTTATATATATAAATAAAAAAATTATTCACTTTTATCTTCATCAGGATTATATTTTGATTGAGCTGACACAGTCTGGGCTGAAAGGGTCTGCTGAGTCCAGAGGAACAGAATCTCAGGAGGAAGATGTTACACTGGTGGTCAACCCCAACTACACATTTGATGACTAGACTTTTTGAACTTTACATTCTCTGCTGTATCAACTCCAAATAAGAGACTGTTAGATAGATGGTGATCAGGAAGTGGTGGTGTCCCTCTTCAGTCTCTTCTCTTTTTGTAAATTGCTTCTGCTCTGGTTTTAGCTTTTTCCCCATAACGATTTTTGCATTGCTTCGAAAGGATGGCTATAAACATCTTAATTTTTAAGAGGATTTGTGACCTTGAAAAAACAAGCTCTTTGTAAATGTGTTTTAGAACATTTTAGAATGTTAGTAATGTTTTGCATATATAGTTTATAATGTTTTATTAAAAGTGCTATCCTTGTGTAATGTCAAAAGAAGTTGTGTTCATTATGAAATACATTTTATGACATGTATTTGCCGAAAAGCAAGTTTTCGTTTATGTTTAAAACAGAAATTAGATGCTAGTCATGTGTGGAAATCACTTCAAATATTCTTGGCCAGTTGTCAGTAGAAACTGCACATTCAAATGTCTTGTATTTTTAAATGGGACATTTGCTTATATTAATAAATATATAAATGTAAAATGTCTAATTTTGGCTAAGCTTAAGTTTGTTTTAAAAATATATATATTTACATTAACTTAAAATTAACTAAAGCTTATCAAATTGCGAGAAGTGCAAGTCGATTCTAACAACTGAATTATTAGTTTTTTTTGGTTTTAATTTAATTATAGGTAAGCAACCTGTGTAAAATTAAAAAAGATTGTAAGATTGATGTAAATGTTCACTAAGAAATGTCAAATTATGATTTTTTTTTTATTCAAAGAACAATAACATGAAACCATCAAAAAGAAGAAAAGGGAAATTAAAACAAAAGAAGAAAAAAAGATTAATAAACAAATTACAACAAATAAAAATTCGCCAGGGGGAAGTAAGTATTAAAGTTCAAAACAAAGATACAAAGAGATATACATATAGTCGCTTTGGATAAAAGCGTCTGCTAAATGACTAAATTTAAATGTAAATATACTGTACACGTATACATATATAAAAATCAAATAAATATAAAGTTCACAAGCTTTTAAAGTTCTTACAGCTTTCTTATTCAAAGAGTCTCTGAAACGGTCAATATATATTCATATTTCAGTCAACAAAACCATAAAATTGGGTTTCTTATTGGTAAATTTACACTTATGAATGTGAAATCTGAATCAGTCTCCAAGTAAATTAATCAAGTAAAAGTACTGTTCCTATTGGTCAGGATAGTTGGTAAAGCCAAAGAGAAAAATTTCCCATAAGAGTGAAAAAGGTCTCTGAACAAATGTATTTTTGTTAAAGGGGTCATATGATACGATATTTTCCTTTCTCTTTGAAGTGTTACAAGCTCTTGGTGCATAAAGATCTGTAAAGTTGCAAAGACTAAAGTCTCAAATCCAAAGAGATATTCTTTATAAAAGTTAAGAGTCAACCACGCCTACCTAAAATGGCTCGATTAAACACGCCCCCACATGTCTACGTCACGATGTGGGAAGATTTGCATAACGCCACCCAAATGTTCACACGAAGAAAGAAGGCGTAACTTTTATTCTCGCTGTAGTATTGTTGCTGCCGTCATGTCGTGAAGACGCCGTGTTTCGAAAGCGAAACTACTTTGTTTGGTCTTCCAAAAGAGGACGATATCCGCTTCGTCATGCCTAGAGCTGATCCGTGCTGGTCGCTGAGGAAATACTACAACTTTGCGCTGTGGATCGCTGGATCGGCTTTCACCGTGGACTCACATGTGGTTGTCGCAAGCCCGCCGGCCGCCGCTCACTCAAGGCCACCGTGTGTGACGCTGTGTTTCATTGTGAAAAAGAAACTACTTTGTTTGGCCTTTCAAAAGAGGACACGACTAGAAATCAGTGGTTAAGTTGTATTTATAACACCATTCCAGAACACTTCAACCCAAATATTCAGATGTGTGCAGAGCATTTTATGGAGGACTGTTTCCTGATTCTGGTAGAGTAGACTACAATGCCGGCTGTTCTGACTCACAGCCTGTAAGTACTTTTTTATATATACATAATTTGCCACTGATGATTCAAACACGAGTTTTGGGCAGTGTAGAGTAGCGCTTGTTGTTTGTCATTTCTCCGATCACAAATGCAGACATGGTTTTATGTTTACACGGCACGATGCAATGCAACGCATAAAAAGACAGTATAAGTCATTATAATACATAATTATGTCCCCACTGGATGCAAGGAATGCCTCGTTTATAATGGGTTTTCATGTTTTTGTCTTGTCGCTCCGAGGCACGGCATCACAGTATGGTGAGGGGCGTAACATTTCCGTCTCACGCTTGAGGTATTCGGCCAATCATAATGCACTGGATAGCTGGCCAATCAGAGCACACCTCGCTTTTTTAGAACGATGAGCTTTGTAAAAATCGACAGGCGGCGCATAGAGGAGAAACAATAATGTACAGTATGTGGAAAATAACGTGTTTTTTTTTCATCTTAAACCGCATAAACACATTTCATTACACCAAATACACAAAATAATGTTCTCTTTAGCAGCATCATATGACCCCTTTAAATAAACACGAGTGCGTCACAAAACCACGTGAACGCGCGTGACGCGTTCTCTTCCTCACTACAAAGATGGCCGCGTCCTGTCGGAACCTGATGAGGTCGACTTTGCAAGGTAGGTAAACATGTTAACATATAATTCAATAATAAATCATGACACATCTGAATAAATTGACTGTACATCATTTTTACTTATGAAATATGATTTTTAAACCACCGTTACCATTTTAAATTACTGCTGCATTGCATTGCCTTGAGTGCACCTTAAAAGCTTGACATGCACAGAAGAAATTCATGCAGCAATAGTATACTGTACTTGTCAACTGATTGAATGCAAACAACCATTGAAGATAAATATGGCTAATGAGAACTCTGGGAAGATGAACTACTCATGTAGTGCAGACTCCTCGCATGTAGGAGTTAGATTAGATGCCAGTACTTCAGGAAATCTCATCAGTCTGATAAATAATTAAGCGATATTATATGAGCAAGAAAGTTGTCTTTCCGAATATAAGCATAAGTGTTGTTAAGCTGTAGGCATGAGGCCACATGTAATCACAGCCATGCTGATACCTAGACCAATATTGCTTGTGTACAACACCAGTTCAATAAACAAGTTAATATTGAGAAACTTACATTTTAGACAGAATAAAGTTCCGTGACTGTTTTATGAAGACAGTCACGTATCGCCAACTACTGCTGTTAAACTGTAACGATGTAATCTAGGGATGAAACTGGAATTGATTCCCCAGAATAAAACATGAATGGTTTTGGATTAAAGCATCTGCCAAATGTAAAAATTATTATCCATATCTATATCTACAGTAATAAGTACTAGTCTGCGATGCAGATGATGCACTGGCCCATTATCTACAAACCTATCTTGGAACATTAAACCACCGATTAGATGGCGAAAGAACTATTTCATTATACAGCACATGATTCGGTTCAGAAACAATATTATTGGGCAGCCTTACAAAGTTTTTATGATAATTCATATACTTTTTGAAGTGGATGACCCACTATTTTAGAACACATTTTTACTCACCTGATCAGATCTGACACTCCTCTGCAATACGGATACTTTCTTAATGGCACTGCATAACTTTTTTTAATTTGATATCTTGTTACCGAATGGTATTTTCACAAAACACTATATATGTGATCTAGTAGTTGGTCAGTAACGTAAGGATGCACCTGCATAGAAAATAAATGTAGGCTGAATGTGATTGTTTAACGTCCTTTTTCAGGTTTGTATAAGTTATCAAATAAGACATTGTGGATAAGATCTCCCTTTGAACAGAGAGTTGCCCATCTCAGACTGCAGGAGAATGTTTTGCACAGTAGAGCTCTACACTGCGGACATTACGCTTTACAAACCATCACCAAGACAGAGTCTTCAAAAGTTATGAAAACACAGAAAGCAGCTGAACCTGAAAACAAAACCAACCAACAAAAGAAAGAGGAGGAGGAGGAGGAAGAGGAAGGTAACAGGCCTGAGTACATCCCCAAAAGAAAGGCCAAAAATCCACTGATGAAAGTTGGATATGCATGGTAAGTACTGTCAGAATAAACCAGTAGTGAAAAGTATTTCAGGCTACTGACACGGAGATGTTTTCTTCTAGGATGCTCGGCCTGCCTACTGGAATCATTGGCTTTATTCTGGCAAAGAGACAGGTGGACAAGAACCGACTGAAGCAGCTGAAAATCAGACAGAGAATGAAGAAAGCCAACGAGGGCGATTACGAGAGAGAGAGATATAAACCAGCCGCCAGGATGCAGTGAAAGCTCTGCTTTGTGAAATGACTCTCTTGTGCTAGAGAATAGCTTCATTGTGCACTTAATGGTTGGATTGCCATGGAAACAGTGAACTGATATATTATGGTGGATCTTTTGATCTTATGAAGACTTCAGTTGAGGGATTTCAGTGCTGCCTGTTTGAAATGTTTTCTATATTTTGATGCAGTCGTCACCGTGCTTGTTCATAAGCATACAGAACATTATAAGCAACCACGATCATCTATTAAAATCAACTAAATAATACTCATGTTCCTTTTATTATGATTATCCTCACAATGACAACGATTACATATCAAACCTCAACCACATTGTTGTCCAACGTGTGGCATGAGAACACTAACAGAAAATACAGGTTCATTTTGTTTATATAATTCAATTATATAATCCATTTATATGTAGGTGACACCTTTTATGACTATTTATTCATGGTGTATCTAAACAAAGGAAAGGCACCATTGTACATCACATAATATCAAATTTATTAAGTAAAGACATTTATTTCCCCAAAGTTGAAGGGAAACATCTGATATAATTTTTTCTATTGTATATAAAGATGTCTGCGATAAATACTCTATTCATTAACTGAAATAGTTAAGATTGTATGTACACAGCAGAAAAGCTAAACCCTCGACCAAAATGAACCACACACATGTAATATCTATAGATAATACAGCAAATCTAAATCAATACAGTAGAAATTTCTAATAGACAGTTTCCATTTCTATGACATGGAATCAAGAACACAGTATTGGCTATAAAATATCACTCATATTTTATCGGAATACATGCATATGGTTAGTAAATCATGGAAATGATATTCATCCCTTACCAGTTGTTCAATTAGTATAAAGCTAGATATATTTTACAATTTCCGTATTATTTGAGTAGATGTTAGCTGGGACTAGACTGAGAAGTGCATAAACATTAAAGCCATTATGATGGTACAGAAAAGGTCCATCAGCCAGCTTGAAGCTTCTATCTCTCTGCAAATCCGATAATTTGCAGAAGGAAGATGAAGATCTGGACAATGTCAACATAAAGGGAGAGGGCCGCAAACACATACTCCTCCGGGCCGATGGAGAGCTTTCTGTTTCCGATGAGCAGCTGGGTATGATAGGCCAGAAACTAATCATTTAAAAACACACAAACGCAAAGTGAATTTAGGATTGAACGAATAAGCAATTTTCCTATGCAGAGCAGAAGTATTCCAAGAAAAGGTGAATTCAATGTGATGCAGTGAATAGACATACCAGAGTGAATGCAATGGCCCCTATTGCTGCATAGAGCATGTGAAGCCATGGGATCTGAAACAAACAGTGAAAAAGTCAGTTAAATGATCAAATGACAATTGCTGTGCACATACAAGATGCAAACACAAGCTTACATATTTGAATGACAGCACGATAGCCGTGATGATGCCAGTCACAAACACTACGATTCCGAGGACAGAGGAAGATGAAGATCTGGACAATGTCAACATAAAGGGAGAGGGCCGCAAACACATACTCCTCCGGGCCGATGGAGAGCTTCCTGTTTCCGATGAGCAGCTGGGTATGATAGGCCAGAAACTAATCATTTAAAAACACACAAACGCAAAGTGAATTTAAGATTGAACGAATAAGCAATTTTCCTATGCAGAGCAGAAGTATTCCAAGAAAAGGTGAATTCAATGTGATGCAGTGAATAGACATACCAGAGTGAATGCAATGGCCCCTATTGCTGCATAGAGCATGTGAAGCCATGGGATCTGAAACAAACAGTGAAAAAGTCAGTTAAATGATCAAATGACAATTGCTGTGCACATACAAGATGCAAACACAAGCTTACATATTTGAATGACAGCACGATAGCCGTGATGATGCCAGTCACAAACACTACGATTCCGAGGACACAGAAAAATCCTGAACATTTAGTGAAATCCACCTATAAAAGAACAGAAAAGCATGATAACCCACACATTGACACAATGATATAAAGTCATGCTGATGGTGGACATCTTATATGTGTAGCCCACCTTAGTCTGGAAGCAGAACACTGTCACCGCAACAGATACAAGAACAGTGATGGCCAGGGCCAGGAAAACTGCCCTAGTGCTGTAATAGCTACAAACAAACAAATTACATTGTAATATTCATAATTCTATATTATTATTAGCAAAATAAACTACTATTCAAAAGAATGGGGTCTATAAGATTTGTCTTTTTTTTTTTTTAAAGAAGTCTATGCTCACCAAGGATGCATTTACTTGATCAAAAATACAATGAAAACACCAATACTGTGAAATAGTATTACAAATTAAAATAAATGTTTTCTATAATATCTTTAATATATTTTATAATGTAGTTTATTCACAGCTGTTGAAAACAGCTAAAACTTTCTGTTATAGAAAGTGAAAGTGACATGTGGCCAAGTATGGTGACCCATACTCGGAATTAGTGCTCTGCATTTATCCCATCCAAAGTGCGCACACACAGCAGTAAACACACAGTTAATTTTTTTGCAGCCATTTTTTTGCTGTTGGAGCAGTTGGGGGTTCGGGTGCCTTGCTCAAGGGCACCTCAGTCGTGGTATTGAAGGTGGGAGAGAGCGCTGTACATTCACTCCCCCCACCTACAATCCCTGCCGGTACGAGACTCGAACCCGCAACCTTTGGGTTACGAGTCCGACTCTCTAACCATTAGGCCACGACTTCCCCATGGGATCCACAAAACAGCATTTATCTGTTATAGTACGAAGAATTAAATGGGGTGGGAACAAAACCACTATCACTGCAAACTAAATGGACAAAGGAATTGTCAAAAGGTAAACAGGGGGTTTACAGGACATCCATTAAAACACTGTCAACAGTCCTGAGACTCGTGCTCTTTTCTCATTTCTCCACCCACTGTATCTCATCATTGAGATCATGATGTACATGTTGTGTGACATGTCTCACCTTGCTATATTTCCAGTCATGAACGATAAGGCCAGCGTCTAAAACAAGAAAGAAAAGTAGTCAACTTTATTCAAAGACTTTAGCATCCTTGATACAATATCTGCAACATTACATGCAAAAACAACATGGCCCATTACAGGTTTGGCCACAATCCCTCATAATTCCTTCCGAATGACTCAGAATCTTCCAACTCACAAAAACAGACAACAGGATCAGGTTCCACGGGAAACGCCTCCTAAAATGTGTGACAAAGGAGAGGGCTAAATTAATTGGTTCACATTACAACTTATGTTTATAGTAGCTCTTTTTATGAGGGCTTTCATTTTTAGATTTTTTTTTTGTATATATTGTCTGGTATGATTTTTGTGTCTACATTCTTACTGTCACATTACTAAACTACGAGCAGTACAAAATATCACCACCTGATCCTTTTATTATTAGGTTGATTTAGAAAATTGGCCAATCATCTCACCTGGGTCCCTGACAGCAAACCAATACGATGTGTGTGACCAAATAGACAGCACTGAAAAAAAATTACTTCAACAGTCATTCACATTGTTCACTACATTTGTATTTAATGTTGTAAATGTGAAGCATTCTGCATCGTGAATGAATAAATGTCTCATTCTTACTATGAAACCCAGTAAATGGCTGGATTTTTCCTCACAAACGTTCCTACAGGTTCCCTGTGTGAATAAAAACACGAATTAAAGTTTAATGACAAAGCCTACCTGAACAAGCAGAGATAACACTTATCCTTTATTTTGTATGAACACAAAGCACAGAAAGTAACCACACCCCCCTCACAGAGACTCACACAAATGTGAAAATAGCCACGATGGCAGCTGTGACGATAAGCTGAGAAGCGAGGATCAGATAAACCTGCAAGACAGAAAGAACCGTTTTCCAAACTCATCCATTCAGAAAAATGTGTATTCATTATTCATACACAGTCCATTAATCTGAAATAACGACTGAGTAGCATTACCATTAAACTCTTTTACTTAAGTAAGATTATGCAGAGTACAGAAGAATGGTTCCTTACTTTCCGTATAAAAGTGTGACGGACACTAATATCGTCGAATCCTCCTGTTGTGGTAAATCCTTCAATGTCACCTGTAACAATCATGTGTTCTGTGAAAACTACTTTTACACCTACAACCTCATTCACATCAGTCTGTGTAAATAAACCATCATATAACTGGGAGATTCTTTAACTTCTGGCACTTTTATATCGCAATGATCTTAAACTATGAAAAACCATAATAAAAATATGAGTATTACATGTTTGAAACCATGATAATCTAATGAGTGAAGTAATTATAATTTTTACTGTGTGAAAATTTGTATCTTTTTCCCCCCCAAAAGATAACTGTCCTGTCCCAAATTTGGGTGTCACTTCTAGCACACCAAACAATTTTTACCCAATAAAGCGTTTTCCAGGTTAGTGTATTTGTTTACAGTGACATTGAATAGCATGCCTGAGAAGAAATATGTGATATGTGAAGAAAAAAAAAAAGAGAACTTGCAAAATGAATATGCTTTGATTGTGTGTGATTTTCAATTTTGTCAAATTATGCAAAAAGTGTGAAAAAATAAAATATTAATTGTGTACTGCTAGCTTTGAAATTAGCAAATATGGCATAGAATTTTTTTATTCAAATTTTTTTTTTATTCCACAAAATGTTTAAAATGTCACTATTAAACACAATAAATGATGAGATGTGGTGGGAATATTCATTAATTTCAGAAAAATGACAATTCTCATGTGATGCATGTTTGTCCACTGTGTTAGTGAACAAATTAAATAAACAAGTGAGAGTTTGAAAACTGTTTAGCTTATTTTCTAAAAGTTCCAAAAGTGCCCATAGTTGAAGAAATACCCAACTACGGTCTAATATACAATCCAAATAAACCCTGGTCTCATTGAAGGACATTTGTGATAATGGCATCTGGCTGTACATTATCCCTCTACTTAAACAAACAAACAAATAAATGGACATTTAAATGGTTTTATTACATTACAAAAAAGAGACCATGGAATGATAAGAGACACAAAATTACCACAGATATATATACGTAGGTATTCAGTTGCCAGGGACAATAGTAAATTATATAGTGTCGTTAGAATTTGAATGCTGCGACTGACCAATCAGAATCAGGTATTCCAGAGAGCCATCTAATGAATCCCTACATCACTGGCCTATCAACACTAATCTGGTTAGAGCTAGGCTATAGGGATTACATTAAGAAAAATGGTGACTTCAGTTAAGATTCAATTCCATGGCTTGCATATGATCTGCTAAAATTTAATTTCCCGAACAATGGATTGTTTAAGTAATGAACCAGATCCTAAACCTGATCGGCAGGTCATTAAATATTGTTCTTAAATGTTTCAGGACCATGACACTATGATAATAAAGTAAAAAGCTGAAGGTTTACAAGAGACTAGAAATAATAGTCTTACCTACACCAGGAGGAATGATGGGGAAGGCAGGTATATTTGGCGGGGGGTATCCCGCAGGCTGTCCTCGGTATGGATCATTGGGCTGTGGGTAAGGCGGCTGTCCTCGGTATGGATCATTGGGCTGTGGGTAAGGCGGCTGTCCTCGGTATGGATCATTGGGCTGTGGGTAAGGCGGCTGTCCTCGGTATGGATCATTGGGCTGTGGGTAAGGCGGCTGTCCTCGGTATGGATCATTGGGCTGTGGGTAAGGCGGCTGTCCTCGGTATGGATCATTGGGCTGTGGGTAAGGCGGCTGTCCCGCGTATGCGTTGAAATCATATGGGGGGACAGAAGCGGGGTAACCTCCTCCAGGCTGAGGGTTAGAGAGCAGCCGGGAATCATCATAACTCGGAGGGAAATCTGACCTTGACATGCTGCTTTACCACCTGTTGGGTAGATGAGACACCATAATGACCGTTTGTGTTACTAAAGTGCAGAAAACACCCAAGAAAAAAATCAGACTTGCTCCAAAACAAAAAAAGAGAAATGTAGTTATTTTGTATTCTTTCTTTAGGAGCACGTAAATGTGTCACGTCAAGTGCTACCTCCGATTACCAAGAAGAATTGTTTGGTTGATCTGCCATTTCTAAATATTCTCCCATCCAGCCCTAAAATATATTTAAATAACCCTAAAATCCAATGCAAGACAACTCATAAGTAGGGCTGCACCGAATGTTTGGCAACCGAAATTATTTGGCCAAAAATAGCCCAAAAAAAAAAGCTCTTTCGGTGTTCGGCCGAATAAGCGAAAAGACTAAATAAATTGTACTGAACAATGATATAACGCGATTAAATAGCAACCAGCGCAGAGTGAGAGGCGCGCACACTTTATTATGCAGCACACACGTCAGCAGTGTGGAAGCATTTAAACTGTTGGAGAAAGACGCAAAAATCATCACAAGCACCGACAACGAGAGACCAGTGTTGCCAACTTAGCAATTTTGTTGCTAAATTTAGCAACTTTTCAGACTACCCTAGCAATTTTTTCTTCCAAAAGCACCTAGCAACAAATTTAGCTATTTTTTTTTAATTTTATTTGGCTACTTTTAGCAACTTTTGATAAGTGACTCAAACAATAAAAAGGCACACATTTTCCATCTAAATTTCACAAAAAGAGGAAACCAAAGATGCCTAGAAGTACATACATCACATGAATTAAGTTATTGCTATTTGCAGTCGTTCAATTTGATAATAACAATAATAATGTAATAATTGTTCATTTATGATACACCTTGTTAGTAGCTTGTACATGTGATTGTTGATCAGTTAGTACACTGTAAGAAAAATATCTAGAAAAATGGCAAAGGTACTAGTAATTTTCCAGGACATTATCCGTTATCAATTATCCATTATCCGTTGTAACCCTATAACCCGAAAACACAAAATAATTAAAATGCGTAACTTAAAATGCAGGTAAAAACCTGTGATTTATTGTCTTAGAGTGTAGCATACTGACTACTAATACACTGCTTAAAACTATAATTGTTCAGAATGTGTAGTTTTACTAGTTTACTAGCTAATAAAAAAACTTCGTTCAAAAATTAAAGCGTTCAAAAGTGTTTAATGTTGTATATAAATAGTTATTTATATTTTAACATTTTATTATGCATTTATATTATTTTACAAGCAAATCTAAATTAACAAAATATATTTTTGCTGAGATTTGATGTAGTGACAATTTTGCGTCGTGATTACGTAATGACGTCATCGCACAATGACATCACAACGTCATTTAGCAACAAATCGACCTTCCTTTAGCAACTTCCCCTGAAAATTAGTTGGCAAAACTGCGAGAGACTGTTTAGGACTGCATCGCATGTCTTCAATGAGAAGAGGAAGGTGTGATTGTTGCTGGTTACTGCATGATGATTGAAATCGCGAAATGGCCTTAAACAATTAGTAAATAAACTGCAGAACGTTATGTTTTCCAAAGCGCGAGGTAAATCTGCACTGATACAGTCGTCAGTTGCTCGGTCACATTTTTATGAATTTTTACAAGGCATGTGTCAATGCGATACGTACAATGCGAAGTCGTGGCCTAATAGTTAGAGAGTCGGACTTGTAACCCAAAGGTTGTGGGTTCGAGTCTCGTACCGGCAGGGGTTGTAAGCTCTCTTCCACCTTCAATACCACGACTGAGGTGCCCTTGAGCAAGGCACCGAACCCCCAACTGCTCCTCGGGCACCGCAGCATAAATGGCTGCCCACTGCTCCAGGTGTGTGTTCATGGTGTGTGTGTTCACTGCTGTGTGTGTGCACTTTGGATGGGTTAAATGCAGAGCACTAATTCCAAGTATGGGTCACCATACTTGGCCACATGTCACTTCACTTTACGACGTATTCATAATGAGACTCATTTAAAGAACTATCAACATTCATAAATGTTAGTATTGTAATTTTGCTGTTGTTCTGTTAAATAAAATTTGAAAAGACAATAATAATGATAATAATTACAACAGCTCTATTAATACATTTATTACAACAGTCACACATAGTGTTCAAATTGGGATCTGTAATATTTTCTAATGTTTTAAAATAATTCCCTTCTGCTCAGCAAGGCTGCATTTATTTGCATGCCTGATTCAAGAAGGGGGTCTCAAAAATGGCCACAAAATATTTTTTTTTACTAACTTATTAATTTTAAGTTATTGTGCTTTGGTATAATGTCTGCTAGAATTTAGTATTGTAATTTTGCTGTTGTTCTGTAAAATAAAATAAATAGTAAGACAACAATAATGATAATAATCATTACAACAGCTCTGTTTTAATACATTTATTATAACATTCACACATAGTGTTTAAATTAGGATCTGTAATATTTTCTAATGTTTTAAAAGAAGTCTCTTTTCAGCAAGGCTGCTTTTAATTGTACAGTAAAAAAATGAAAAAAAAAACAATACATGCCTGATTCAAGAAGGGGGTCTGATGGCCAAAAAATATTATTTTACTAACTTATTAATCTTAAGTTAAATTGTGCTTTGTTGGTATAGTGTCTGATAGAATGTTAAAAATGTTCAGTGTTAAATATTTTGTTTGTTGTTTTGTAATTGATTTTTTTCTTTGAAAAGCAAGATAAAACAGTAAAAAGCACATTTTGGCTTTTTAATTTCTGCAATGGAGAAAAAAAATTGGCAAAATACATGGGGGAAAAAAACTTGAAAAACCGTGTTCGGTATTCGGCCCAGTGTTTAATTTTGTTCGGCTTCGGCCAAGAATTTTCATTTTCGGTGCATTCCTACTCATAAGCTAAACCTTGGGACTTCTATACTTTGATCCGTTCACCCCATGATCTGTCAGTTATTGAACACAGCCTATAACTGAGCTTGAGACGATCTTTCCTTTTATTATTATAATTATTTTTAAGCAGGAAAACATATTCATCATTCAACTCCAAAAACATTTCACAGGCAAGAATGAACTTCCTGTTTGTCGGATACATGAATACCGTCTCAGGACTTTTCAATACTAACAAAAGTAGAGTTCACTAATGATTCATTCTAGACTGCAGTTACTGATGTTGTCTCTCACTTTTAGATGTAAGAAAGTCAAACCCATGTAGAAAACCATTAATGTTTTAAAAGTAACTTGATATGGTATGTAATTTAATTAAAATTATTTTCATTTTAATTGTCTTTTAGAGCATGAAATTATGCACGAGAAGAGTTATTTTACCGTTCAAAAAGTAAAGGTAAAAGTATCAGAAATGTAGTTAAATCATTAAATTGATGATTTAAAAAGAATTAAATCAGAACAACTGAAAAAAGGTAACAAGATAAATTGAGAAAAATTATAATAATTACATAATAATATTATAATCTACACACAATTATTACTCATTAATGATTGAACAATTGTGTGTAAATGGTTATAATACTATATAGTTATGTTATAAATGCCGAGAAGAGTTATTTTACCGTTCAAAAAGTAAAGGTAAAAGTATCAGAAATGTAGTTAAATCATTAAATTGATGATTTAAAAAGAATTAAATCAGAACTGAAAAAAGGTAACAAGATAAATTGAGAAAAATTATAATAATTACATAATAATATTATAATTTACACACAATTATTACTCATTAATGATTGAACAATTGTGTGTAAATGGTTATAATACTATATAGTTATGTTATAAATGTCATTGATGTTAAAGAAATATAAAAACAACTGCAGAACCTTTATGAAAAACACATTGTTCTTATATAGACTAAAAGCCATGTGTGATTATTCTTGTAATATCAATGAACAGTAGCATTAAATGAACAGTAGCATTATTGTTTTTGTAATAACTTCTCTATCCTGAAAATTCAACCTAATTATTAAATTTGTTGGTGGTGTTACTGGTTCTCACTTTTTCTAAAATGATTGTTCTATAATTTAGTTAATGAAGTGGATAAAAAGCAGATAAAATAATTCATATAGCACAGAAAGTGTGAGAAATTCAGCACGGTCATGATTCTTTTCTTTTTTTTTTTAAACAATTCAGACGGAAATGTGCAATGATCTTAATAATTGTGGACAACATTTCAGTAGGAGCACTAAACTTACAATATCCTTCCTGCCTCTTCCCATCAAGAACTATTATGTGGCTGTGTAGGGGTTTGAGAGGTCCAGATGCAAACAACAGATAAGTAGACATAAATTCACTCTATGACTGCACGTCTACTCATGCTGCGTTTTGAACGGTTTCTTTCCATTTTAATCCTTACAATGACATGCATGAAAGATATAAACTGACGATTTTTTGGATCTGGGAGTACCAAGCGTCTAATGCCATTTTCACTCTCACAGTACTGATCACAGCAAAAAAGCACGAACCACACTTTAAACAGTCTTCCTGGAAACAGCCGAAGGCACAGCCCATGAAAGGCCTTACAGTGAGTGCTGTGAATACACCTAGTTTTTCCTCAGCTACTACGTTTTCCTATGATCAGGTTAGGGAGTGAGATTTTGAAATCTGAATTATACTTTTTTTTTGTTGTTGTTGCATGCGTTAAGACATTATTTGTGCGTCGGGATCATAACTTCCTGTTATCAAACAGATGTAAAGGAGGCCACTCAGGACCACACAGTGAGGGCGACATGACCATGTGACTCACATCTGCTAAGGAAAATCTTATTCAACGTCTAAATTTGTCATTGATTGTCATTTAATGAAAGTATCCTGGGAAAAGGCGTTTCTACATTTCAAGTTCAGAAAGGAGTGACTGTCAAATTAACTTCAGAGAGCAACTAAACTGAGCCATAGGCCGTTACTAAATGAACCAACATTTTCCAGGACATGTGACAGAACTCCATGAACAATATAAAACCAGGTTTAATGTCACTTTTTACTTTCAAACCAAGCACATGCGAGTACTTTCTATATACCCCTATAGTATGTAGGCTGATTATAATGTTTACAAAAACATGGAGGGTGCTGTGCAATTCAAGCCAGACTGGAAAAGAATGTCTCCATTCTTGTATCAGTTCAACACTGCCAGCATGACTCAAGCAAGCCTACCATACACTGTTACATCATTGTGTACTCTGCTAAGCAACCTTTTATTTTTAAAGTGGAAAAAAAAATGATACTTTCTCTTCCTTGCTGGTCCACCCTAGTACTTGGAATTGGCCAAAATGTTATGCTATCCGCCATATTGAAATAACTGTTGTACAGAGATAAAGTTGCTTTAGCGGTTTATTTATTCTCTCTTTGATAGGCTCGATCTGGCACAGTAAATGGGTTTTTAATACTATACATGTATTGAATAGAAAACGTTAATGTAACTGAGCTGAAAAATATAAATGTCAATATCTAGTAAGCTGCCTACTTCAACAGCGGTGTTGGGCATCATAGTTGCATTCAATGTGTGTGATGATGTTTAGGTAGGCAGCTTCAGGAAGGCATTTTAGGAAAGCGTGATCTTATCTTACTCCCATATTCCTCTATTATAACTTTACCTTTAAATATAGACTAGAAGTCAATTAAGTTATGTAGTTATGAATACAAGCTAAGTATAACTATTGTACTCTACAGTAACTTACTTGAGCATGTTCACATAGTTGGCCCCACCCCTCGCAAATATTTACCATGTCCATGGTCACCGTAGTTTCCGCGAAAATAACAGGTACTAGTTATTTTACTACTGTTAAAGCATTATAGATTACTCAATCGATGTAAAAAGCAGTCGAACAGTACTTCATGACAAGAGCACGTGATGGTAAAAACAAAACAGTAACAATCTTACCACGCGCTGTCTGAAATCCAGAAAACTTTACACGACCGATGCTGAAGCTTGGAGAAAGAAATATCTAGCGATATAATCCTTCAACCTGAGCCTATTTAAATACAAATTCGTGAGTTGACGCACTGATCCACTTTCCTCGGTGTCAGTTCAACTAACGTAAAACCAGCAGTCAGCTGACGACGTTCAGTCAGTGTAATGTGCTCAAAATGCTTACAAGCCAGCAGGTGGAGTCAGCCTGAAACATATTGCGTGTAACTAAACATAATTCTCAGAACTAAGCCACAAGATAGCTGTTATAGCAGTACAATTATGTTTTGGCTCGGAGTAAAACGAAAATGATATCTAAAACATTGTCTGTCTGCTCTCTTTATGTAACGCTTCACCAAACACACTCATGTAAGAAGTCTGTCGAGGTGTGCGTGGTTAACTAGACACACCCAGGCTGCTTTTTTGAATTCTTGCTACAGCTGGGATGTGTGCCGAGCTCGTTCTGTCGCGTTTGTTGTCTTACACCAGGTGGTGCTAAATTGCCGTTCCTACTTTTCGCAATCAGTATCAAGTTTATTTACCAAATTATGGAGGACGAAACCTGCAAAAACAACAAATAAATAAATACACAAATAAATAAATAAATGTGTGCATAAATACACGTATTCTTGTTTAAAAACATAAATAAATAATTATGCATGTGATGAAAGTAGGCAAATAAATCAAATAAATTGGTGGGCAAATGGAAAATGTTTAAGGAAATGCTAAACTCATCCTAACTATTTTCCTTTGATCGCTCATTTATTTCTGAATGTAGCTCCACATTTTTTTCCCCTCTGCACAACGTGTATTTAAACAAGAAGTTGTGTATTTATACAGACATTTATTTATTTATTTGCATATTTATTTATTGTTTTTGCAGGTTTCGTCCTCCATACATGCAATGTGCAATGCGATATGATATATGCAACAAAAAAAACAGCCTATGAAAATGTTATCACCTAATAATAGCTGCCTGATAAAAAATAATGCACCTTATGAATAATGCACGATCAGTATAGGAAAAAAAAGACGAGTTTTTACGGTGATTGTTGCTTCTGGCCAATCGTAGTTGTAGTGTTTAATTGCGTCATCGTCGACGCGCCCACTATAATGGCGCTTCCGGACTGGACAGTGTATGCACTGTGTATTGCTTCAGTATGTGGAGGTTTTTACATCTGTCGTGTTTCTAAATGCGCCAGAATAAGTGCATGGAAAAACAGCCGGATCGCTAAACTGATGGCTCGCACAGAGAAACCGCTGTTTTGGATTGCGTAAGTGGCTTATTTGGCCTGCTGCGGTGATATGTACTGCGTTATATGATGTTTACATGTATGTGGTATTGAAATATAAATATTTTACCTATGTAGAAGTATCAAATGTTCCTTTCAGAGAAGGGCACTGATTTGTCATTTCATTACTGTTAATGATGTATGGCCCTAATGAAAATGTACAGCTTAAATGTAATTTTTGGGTTTGGGGCTGTCAACACCATGGTTAGATCAATGAAGTTATGTTTCTATAAACTAAACAAAAGTAATTATGAAAACAATAGCCTAAACACTTTTTAGGCTATAAAAAACTATTAGTAGTTGTAATAAAAATTAAACGGATTCCTTTACTCACCTAATTGATCATTTAGATTGAATCTACAACATTTCTGCCCAAATTCCATAGAGTAGTTAGTATTGCAATGCCATGAAGGAACATATGCAATGGCATAAAACACTCGAGTGTCCTCTTTAAAAACACTTGCAGGTATTCTCTATATACACGGACCAAACTCGGGTACATATTTCATAAGAGGCAGATAAAGAAAGCACGGGAGCGGTACCCTGCTGGGCACTCCAAAACTCAACCTACTATAATAAACGGTGAGCAGAAACACCTTTTCCATAATACACTCAACAGTTGATTATCAATATCTAAAGTCACACTCTATTACTTTCAACAGGCATCAAGATCATACCAGTGCCCATCTTATTAGACAATTACAGCTATGTGGTCATTGACACGGCATCAAATATGGCTGTTGTGGTTGATCCCGCTGACCCTCAGCCTGTTCAGGTTGGATTCAAAACAACTGTGCAGTGGTTTCAGAAATAGTTTGCTGGATTATGTGTCTTACTGTAGTGAAATTGCCAAACCCATGTGGTTTAGTGGAAAGTGCTTGTTCTTTCTCACTGGTTTACCAAAATTGTGTAAGATGGAATAATAATCAGTTATTGTTATAGGAAATCTTATTAAATGGAAAGATTCCAGTTTTTCATTCCTTGCAAAAGTAGAGATTGTTTTTTTGTTGTTGTTTGTTTGTTTGATTTTTATGAACGAATGTGATCTGAATAATATTGTAATCAGGTAGTGTTAAGGTTAGGGAAGTCATAATCAAAATATCTAGGATCCTTCCTATACATGAAGAGATGCTTTACTGTGCATGTGTGATGTATAGTCACGTCCTTTACACCCACACAGGCATGTCTAGAGGAAGAGGGGGTGGCGTTACAAGCTGTTCTCTGCACACACAAACACTGGTAAGACCACATTTGAAAATTCCAAAAATCTCTTCAGCCTGAAAGCTGCACAATCTTTTGACCATCTTTTAGTGTAATCAATAACTAGATATGTTACATTCAGTTAAGAAGACTGATTTTTTGTGTGAGAATTCTAAGACTGATGAGTTATTTTTAGTATGAAGGCCCTTTTAGCTTTGTAAGATCACATTTCACATTTTGACATTTCACATTTCAAGACATATGAGGTGTCTAACTACCTTTAAAGGGTTAGTTCACCCAAAAAGGGAAATTCTGTCATCATTTAGACTTCTGTTCATCTTCGGAACACGAATGAAGATATTTTTAATATTCTCTCATAAGTTTTGCCCATCTATTGAAAGTCCACACAACCAAAAGTTGCAGGCTTCAAAAAGTACAAGGAGACATTTTAAAAGTAATCCATATGAATGAGACATGATTGAGAAATATGTAATTTAGACATTTATTCACATATAAACATTGATCAGTGCACGTACGATCATCTCTTCAGAAGATTTGGCTTAAACCGCTCAGTTTATATGGATTACTTTAACAAGGTCTTTATGTACTTTATGAAACTTGAAAATGTTGGTTGCGTAGATTTAAAATGGATGTATAAAAATGATAAAAGAATCTGAAAAATATCTTAATTTGTGTTTCGAAGATGAATGAAAGTCTTGGGGTCTTGGAACGACAAGAGGATTGAGTTAATGACAGAATTTAGATTTTTTTGGGGTGAATTTAACAGAATCAAGATTGAATGTCTAAACATGAAAATTAAAACCAACTATACTTTGTAAATACACCTTTCCCAACCAGGGACCACAGTGGAGGGAACAGGGCTCTAAAGAGACGCTACGGGTCCTGTCGAGTGTATGGGAACGCTATGGACAACATTCCAGGCCTTACACAGTTAGTACCTTTGAATATATTCTGCTGTTCTATCATGTATCATTTTAACTGTTAATTCTAAAAATGAATATTCTGTCATTATTTACCCGCCCGCATGTCTTTCAAACCAGTATGACTTTATTTATTCTGAGGTCACAAAATAATATATTTTGAAGAATGTTTCAGCTGTTTTTGTCCATACAATAAAAGTCAGTGAGGTGCAAAACAACCTTTTGTAAAATTTTATCCACAGAATAATGAAATGCATAAAGGTTCAGAATGACATAAGGATGAGTAAACAATGACAGAATTTTCATTTTAGGGTGAACTATTCCTTTAAATGTATCCAAAATGTGTTAGAATTTAAAAACATTTGTCTATCTAAAAATACAGAAAAAATGTTTGTTTGAGAGATTACATCTGATGTTTTCTAACTCAACTTAACTAAACCTATTCTTACTGTATATGATATAACAATCAGGCATTACTTGAGAGCATGAAACAGACCACTTAATTTGATGTTTTCTGGATTGTTTAGCCCCCTTTCAGACAAAGACACAATAGATTTTGGAACTCGGCTGCACTTCAGGGCCTTCTATACACCGGGCCACACAGTAGGTCACGTGATCTACCTGCTTGATGGCCGAGCGATAGGTGGCCCCAGCAGCTTGTTTTCAGGGGATCTGGTATTCCTCTCTGGATGTGGTGAGTATGGCATTAATCATTGTGTTATCTCAATGTGCACATAAAAAGTCATATAATTTAGTTTAAAATTTTGTTGTTATTGTTACCTGCGTGCAATGTTTGACATTGTGTGTATACTTTATAATTATTTAAATGACTATTTATACAGTATCGATGCCCAGAAAGGCATGCCAAAACTGCAAACAAGAATTCAGCATTCTTAAATCCAGCTTGCTCTATTTTAAGCTCTGACTCATTTCCATCCCTTGTAGGGAGAATGTTTGAGGGTAATGCCTCAACTATGTTGTCATCTCTGGATACAGTGGGATCGCTGAACGATGAAACTCTGCTTTGGCCTGGTAAGGAAACTCAGTCATTTTATATGGGCTTTTCACACTTGAAGTTGTTAACTAACCCAGGTTTTATCCACTTACTGTGTTTGTTTTGTTGCACACTGTTTAAACTTTACTCTGGAATAGTAATAAATCTTGGATAGTCAAATAGCAACATTTATCGAACAAGTACAGAACACAACATGATTACAGTTGTGAATCGTTGCTTAAAAGGTGATAGCCCACCCAAAATGGAAAATTCTGTCATCATTTACTCCCCTTCATGTCGTTCCAAACCTATATGACTTACTTTCTTCTGCTTAACACTAAAGAAAATAATTTAAAGAATGTTGATAACCAAATAAACTGGTTTCCATTGACTTCCATTGTGCTTTTCGTCCATACAATGGATGTCAATGGGGACCAACACTGTTTAGTTACCAACATTCTTCAAAATGTGTTATTTTGTGTTCTGCAAAAGAAAAGAAAAAGTCATACAGGAGGGTGAGTAAATGATGACAGAATTTTCTTTTTTGGGTGGACTATTCCTTTAAAGGGGTCATATGATGCTATTTCAATTTTTCCTTTCTCTTTGGAGTGTTACAAGCTGTTGGTGTATATAGAAGATCTGTAAAGTTGCAAAGACTAAAGTCTCAAATCCTAAGAGATATTCTTTATAAAAGTTCAGAGTCAGCCACACCTACCTAACTTATGCTTAAAGTGGCTTTAACCCAGAGTTTAAAAAACATATTAACCCAGGGTTAATTGCAATGTGGCAAGTCTTTGTCATTTTTAGTTTTTGTACACACCTTTTTTTGGTTTTATGTTTTTTCAAACTAGTATTTGTGTGTTTCTAAGGAAAAGCTTCATGGTTATGTTAATAAAGTAGGTCTTTCTTCTCAGGACATGAGTATGCTGAAGATAACCTGCTGTTTGCTGCTGAAGTGGAGCCTTGCAATGTTGTACGGGAGCAGAAGTTGCAGTGGGTGCTGCAACAGAGGGGTCAGAGACTCTGCACAGTAAGGAAGACAAGAAGTCTATGGGAAAAAAAAGTCCTAATATCAAAGTCCAAGATAATTGTTACATCTCTAGACATGTAATATTATTCTAAAACTTCTAAATAATATTCCTACCAGCCAAGCTTGATTTAAAGTCATTCTCTCTCCTCTTCATACAGTGCCCATCCACCCTAGCAGAGGAGAAGCAATACAATCCCTTCCTGCAGTGCCACTCCCAGGATCTTCACCGGGCTCTGGGTCTGCAGCAGAAGCAGGATGAGGACTGGACGTCATATCGTGCCCGTGTTTTAGAGGAGCTGCGCAGACGGAAGGACATTTATAAGGACCGCTAAGGCTTTCATCCACTGACGTTTGGAGGATGTGACCACTGAAACCATTCCAAACTATTGCTCCCTACGTATCAAGCATTAATGTCAATTTGAACAGTAACCTAAAGAAAAAAAAGTGAAGTAGACCTGGGCATTGTTTTGTACACAAACATAGATTTATTTGAACTTTAAGTATGTAGTGGACTTTGAAAGGCATTGTCTGAATTTTTTTTTTTTAACATGCTTTCCTGTCAGTCTAAAGCACGTTTTTCCTTACCTTTGACTCTGTGTTTTGGAGATGTGTAGTGAATTCCATAAAAAATGACATTAAATGCGTTTTGAATACTTAAAATAAACGTAAACGTAAAATAAGCACTGATATTTATGAACGGTTTATCATAATAAACCTATTTATTAATAACAAATATGTGTCTGCATTGAAGGTGTTGCACTGTGACAATATTGGCGCGACTACAGGAAGGTTTACGGTAGATGTTGACCCCAGCGTTACTAAGGAAACCAGAGATGCTAATAAGTTTGAGGCATGAACGAAAAGCACATCTAGACCGTATATAAAACGAGTTAAAGGACTAATGCAGACGCTGTTAGTAATTTGTTCCATTTCCTGTAATATTAATAAAAGTCATTTATGTAAATTTAAGTTAGTTTGTCGATTCTGTTTATTCTGATATTTTTTAATAGCATTAGCAAAGTAGCTCTTGTTTGTTTGACATCTGAAGGACTGAGCAGTTGAGAATCAATATAACGTTACAATCCAGGTAAAAAGAAAAAAAAACGCGTATAGTTTACGTAAAAACTGTTACGATCTTAAAGGTCCATGTAACATAAATATATATATATATAGGCAATATTTTGAGCTATTATTGTGATTGTTTCTTGTTTTATCTGTACTTTCTAAGACACAAATAGAGGAGAATGAATCAACACGGAATGAAACCGAAGAACTGAAAGCTTCTGTTAATGCAGTGGAGTTTATTTACAGCATTGGTAAGTCATTAAACATGATTATGATTTAGTAGGCAACCCTCTACATTGCGAGTAAACCACTCGCATATGCGACTAAATCTTACTCTGGGCGACTATATAATGTCTAACATTAGCCATTGGCTAGTAAATTCTTAGATTTTACACGCCAGTATGTGTGTGTGAGGCGTTCAACACAGATTTTCACTCCAAAGCCTGACAAAAATGGCAAAAACCTCAATTTGTGGATGTCCTCATTTGTAAAACCGTTATGGGTGGGTTTAGGTTAAAAAGTGTATAACTATCTATATATAAAAACAATAGAAGTCTATGTAATGTCCCCATTTAGATAGCTAAGTAAATGTGTGTGTGTGTGTGTGTGTGTACTGGTTTATATATCCTTGTGGGGACTTAAACCTGACTGCACACAGACTCATGGGGACCCGTGTCACGGTGGGGACCTAAAATGTGGTCCCCACGGGTACAAAAGCTTATAAATCATACAGAATTACGTTTTTTGAAAATCTAAAAATGCAGAAAGTTTCCTGTGAGGGGTAGGTTTAGGGGTAGTATTGGTGTAGGGCAATAGAATATACGGTCTGTACAGTAGAAAAAACATTATGCCTATGGAGAGTCCCCACAAGGATAGCTGAC